CCCTGCTGAAAAGAATGAATTTTGAAAGCCATGTGGCAGGAAAAAATATTGTCTCCTTTGGAAACACTGACAAAGGTAATTACATTTAAAAAAAAAAGGTTTGGCAGTAGAACCTGCTGGCACTATCGATCTCTTCTGCTTTCCTTACAGTTAATTGTGGGAAGGGCTCAAAGATTCTTGGCTCCCATCTAGCTTGGATAAAAAACCTGAACCTGTTGTAATTCTGAGAGGCAATGCTAGAATTGTTAAATCCCAAAAGCACAACATTTTTTATATATCAACTGTCTTTCTAGACTTACAGTTGAGCTAAAAATAATCTTCCCTTGGAAGATACTTCTCCAGTTTAAATTAGGGATAGTGACCAAAATGGGCATTTCATGGCCATTAATGAACCTGACAGGAGTTGAATACCTGGAGTAAGTCTTTGTTGATTTACCCAATATTCTGAAGGAGTATCTTCATACCTAGGTTGTCCAACATCTTTTATACAACCTTTAACAATGGGATGATGTACTTCCATTTTCTTGAAGAGTCACTTAGTTAGCCTGTGATTGCTCATTCCATAGAGCTTTTATCTATTCTTCGTGAATATGCATTCTTAGATAATGTGAGAGATGCTTGTGTGCTTCTTTCATAGCTAAGTAACTAATCCATATATCATTTTAGAAAACATACACTATAAGTAAGCAATTGGAGTACTAAAAGACCTAATTCTGCATTAGGTTCCATTTGGGCCTGTGTCTTTTATCAGTAGGAGTCTTACGTCTTTTAGACACACATATAAATTATACCAACTAGTAAACATTTTTCTTCCCCATTCTTGTTTTAAAATATGTATTTCATAATTTTAGTATCTATTAAAAATTAAGGAAAAATTGAGATGAAAATAGTTTAAAAAATTATGTTAAAGAAAGTGATGTTAAAGAAACACTATCAACAACTTTGAAACATTGTTCCTTGCTATTGCTAGAAAAACACCCAAAATTATGATAGTTGATAGACATTTGAGGAAACAAATTGTTTTTCTTTTTGTCAATGTTTACTTTGTGCATTTAAGAGCAGCTTTTTTTTTCTCTTATAGTTAGCTTCATTGTTTCTCCTGTATAGGAGGTCTGTTTGTGTGTCTTTCACATAGTGATTGAGGAAAGACATTTAAAGGGAAAAGTTGCCATGGCGTCTTAGGTGTGGGATGTTCAGTTGTTTTTTTACTTTCCCAGTATGTTGTGAAATTGACCAGATTTCATGTTGATGGGGTATCTGTCTCTTGGGGATTCTAACTATGGCATTCTGCATTTGAGGAGATATACATCTTCACCAGTGATTCAATGGAACTGCATGTACAATCCAAACTTAAAGGGATTTTCCTAGCATTACACCAACCAAAGTGGAGTTCTTTCGACATTTATTATCACTTACTGTTAATTCTTTTTGCTTAGTTAGTTAGGCTCTGATCCTGCAAACGTACATGCACTTAAATTAGCTACTGGGAGCGGTCCCAGTAAATGTTTGTAGGATTGGGGTCTTACCCACCTGCTGCTACTGCAACAGAAACCTTTTCCAGGAATTGCCACTGCTTGGTATATTCCATGCATCTTTGCTATAAACAAAAATCTGGTTACATGTGTGACATTGAAGAGATGGAGTGTTGTTCAGTGCGAAATGTTCAGAGAGGAATTCTTGGCTATAGCCAATATCTAGATTATATTAAAGGGTAAAATCGATTTGAGTGGGGATGCTGTCAGGTTGGCCTGCCACAGACTGAGGTTGCTCCATGGCAGCAGCTCCTGTGTGCGTGGAGCTTGGACCCCCTGTGGACAGAGGCTGCTGCACAACAGCCTCCCTTGCCCCGCCTCTGCGCTGCTGCCTTTGATAGGGGTGCCAGGTGCTGTGGGGAGCTGGCTTTTAAGCTGGTTTTCCCCCAGCACCAGCTCCTGCCTTCCCCCACCCTCTCTGCCTCTGTAGGAGGCAGAAACGGGGGGGGGGGGGGTGCGGGCGACCGCCATTACACACAGATAGTCCTCTTAAAAGCTGTCTCCCCATGCATATTGGCTCCCACCTGCCCTCCTTACCCTCTGCTCTGCTGCCTGTCTATCCAAGTTAGCAGCACGGGGGCAGGGGTACTGGCTCCTGCCTTCCTGAGGCAGCAAGTGGGGAGAAATGCATGTAGTCAACAGCATTATCTGATAAGCCCAAGCTTATCAATTAATCATGTAGTCATCTACATGTTGATATCCCTAGTCTACACCCAGGCTCATTGGTTAACTGTGTAAATAGTTGCACTTTCACATCCATAGCAGGAACCCAGCCAGATCTGGGTGGTAGACAGGGTCACATAGTGGGCAGAGGGACTCCAGCCATGCCTGCGCTACAGCGGCCCTGGCAGGGGCAGATGGGACAACAACCCTGGCGGGGGGCAAATGGGACAGCAGCCGCAGCCACTACTGTCCTGGTCCCTGGCCATACCCCAGTGGGGACAGGTGAGACCTGGCTCTGGCTGATCTGCAGTGCCCTGAGGAGGAGCAGGTAAGACCCAGCCCCAGCTGCAGTGTCCCAAACCCCAGATATGCTCCAGCAGGGGTAAGCAGGACCTGGACACAGCCACAGTGTCCCCAGGCCCAAACACAGCTGTGCCACCATACTGCCCACCACCCTTCTAAGACCCCCGCCTTGGCTTCCGTGCCCCCACCATAGGTTAATCAATTAAACAATGTAATTTTAATCATGTAACTGTTTTGATGGATATTTACATCCCAAAAGCAGACTGAGAAGAGGTTCGAAACTATTTCACAAAACTGGATGATGGGCAATAAATGGCAGAAGAAAGTCAATGATGATAAATGCAAAGTAATGCACATTGGAAAATATAATCTGAGCTATACACATAAAGTGAAGGGGTATGATTAACTGTTACCACACTAGAAAAATACCTGGAAGTTAGTGTGGACAGTTCTCTGAAAACAAGCACTCAATAAGCAGCATCAGTCAAAAAAGCTAAAATGTTCGGAACCGTTAGGAAAGAGATAAGACAGAAAAATTCATATTGCCTCTGGTTAAATCCATGGCACACCTCCATCTTGACTGTGTGCAGATGTGGTCATCTCATTACAGAAAAGATATATTGGAATTGGAAAAGGTTCAGAGACGGGCCACAAAAATGATTAGGAGTATGCAACAGCTTCCGTATTAGGGGAGAGAAATAAAACTGGGATTTTTCAGCTGGGAAAAGACGACAAAAGAGGGATAGGATAGAAGCCTATAAAATCATGACTGGTATGGAAAAAGTTAAGGTATTATTTACTCCTCGTAACACAAGAACTAGGGATCACCAAATAAAATGAATAGTTAGCAGGTTTAAAACAAACAAAAGGAAGTTTTTCTTCACACAACGCACACTCAACCTGTGAAACTCCTTACCAGAGTACGTTGTCTAGGAAAAGATAAGAGGGTTCAAAAAAGAACTAGGTAAGTACATGGAAGATAGATCCATCAATGGCTTTCTGCCAGAAACTGGGAATGGGCAATGGGGAATGGATTACTTGATGATTATCTGTTCTGTTTATTCCCTCTGGGGCATTTGGCATTGGCCACTGTTGGAAGACAAGAAAATGGGGCTAGATGGACCTTTGTTCTAAGCCAGTATAGCTGTTCTTATGTAAAATGTGCTTCTAATCCATATTTTCTTTAGGAGCTCAACAAAGGCAGCTCTTTTCCCGACTTCAGATTGAACCATTAATTGAAGGAACCTTGCAAATGACTCAAGGTTAAGGATGGCTTTTCTTTTTTTTTCCTTTTTGAAAATGTGATAGTTTTCAGTTTGTCCCAAAGAGATTACTGTATTTTTGGTTTAAAATAGCACTACCTTTTACATTAGTTACATTTGTAATGGCCTATAGTTTTTACATGTAGGAAAACTTATGTACAGATCCAGCTGCTGCTGCAGAGGCAGCTCAGTAACACACTCCTAGTGATCAGGTCATATGTTGCTACACCTTCAGCTGGTATAGTCATAGTTGGTGCCTAGAAAGGGATGTGCCCTAAATTTCTGTTTTTAAAACTAGTAGAGGGAATTGAAAACAAGATCCTAGTCTGTTGACATCTTCTAAGTTATTATTCAAAAACATCAGTGCATATTTAAAGAACCTCTATGTTTTACTTTATTCCAACTTTGTTCCAATTTTTCTGTGACTCAGATTATTATGACGTGGAGTCTATGGTCCACACTGATACTAGATCATTTATTCTGAAAAAGCCAAAGTTATCTGAGGAAATAGTAGTGCCACAGAACCAGGAATTGGGAAAGACAGCTGCAGAGGCAATGCGGGCACTTTCAGGACGTCTTATACAGACAAGGTAAAAAGTTAGTTCTTTACTTCATTTAAAGAAGTAACAGGACCAAATACATTACAGACTTGGCTTATATCTTGTAATTGGTTAGTATGGTTATTTAAATGTAAGAGGTTTCATAATTGGAAGAACAAATTCAGTACATTTCTTGGTTTCCATGCTGTAGAAGCCCAAGTAAGACTGATAAAAACATGGACAAAGAGCCTACATCCCAGTCAAAACACAGAAATCCTGACACACATTTCTTTTAATTTGAAAAGGTGTTCCAGGCTTGGTTGTGATTAGAGTAATTTTTTTATTTACTAGGAAAATGGAGAAAAGAATGTGATGGCTTGCAGGTAGCAGAGTGTGGCCCACTTGCACTATAATTTTTATTACAGCTATTACATCTTGCTGAAATCCAAATAATAGATGCATGGTCTCTTTTAAGGAATTTTAATTTGTTTAACAATTAATTTACTCTTAGCCCATCATACCACACATAGTCATTTAAAAATTATCTCTTTGTTATAGTGGTTCTAGTTACCTATCAATTTGAACCATAGATGTGTAGAGCATGGAGGCAAATGGCAAAATTAATGCTAATTTTAGATGGTAGAAGCTATGTACGAAGAGCAATGAGTGAATGTATTCAAGTTTGCTGACTGAGTTTGCCTGGGAGTGCAGGTGTAAAACTGAGCTGACCTAACTGGAGCCTCTGTACCTAGAAGCCCGCAAACAGCTATTAAGTAGGTAAATGGTATGTGGGAGCCCTGCTTTATGTGAGGTTCCTTATAAGTCATTTGGCCAATGGCAATGCAGTAGTCATGTTGAGAGTGATCCATATTGAGGTCACTGGGCCTGTAGAAATCAGTGCCCAATGGACACAATCCCTTTTGCGGTAGGGAGTAACTCTTGTTTTGGGGTATGTTACTCCTGTTGGAATTCTGCATCTTTGGTACTTGAAGCCATAGTACTGTTGCAGAATTCTATCAAGAGTAGTATGTGTATGTTTTACATATTTATATGCAGACTGCAGGAGTGGAAGTGAAGCTGTGAGATAAATAGCATTTAGTATATACCATTCATCACTTCACTGGCTCTTTGCCTGACAGTTTCTACAGGGGTCTGCTAATATTCCAAACCCGAGCAGCTTCTGTTTTTGTTTGGTTTTTTTTTAAGCAGCCTCCAGAGAAGTGTTTCCTTTTTGCTCTTCAAAAGCGAATTTTTGTCACCAAAATTACAGTTAATCAAGACCATATATGGTCATAATGCAGGCTGTGCTTGACATGTTTAACATCTAACACTTCATGACCTTGCATGGTTGGAAACTGGATCTTTATACTTTTGGAAAGTGGTGAGTCCTCCAATCTAGTGGGCCCCAGCTCTGACCTCTAGCCCTAGAAAGTCTTGATATATTGAGCCTAACATTTATAACACTTTAATGCATTAAAAAAGCATTTTAGGTTCTTTTAAACATGTATTCAATTTTAGTTGCTTCTTTCCCCCTTCTAAATGTGTGACATATAAAGAATACAGGGTGATGTGGTGAGAGAGATAAAGGCTTTGTTAGTAGTAGTTTTTTGCCTTTGCCATTTGTGAGTAATGCAGCAATCCTAAACTCAAGTTTGCCATCTCTTTTCAGATCTCAAGATATATTTTTCACTGGCAGTCTGAGGGGGTATATGCATGTATATTGTATATGAAATATATCTTTTTCCAAAGATTTGAAAAGTATTTAGCTCATTTATATGCCTCAAAATTGACTTTTCTTAAATGGCGTAACTGCTCCTTTAGTAACTTTGCATCTATTAATAAGCCTCTAAATTTGTTATGTGCACAAGCTATATGGGTGGCCAAAAAGATTAGTCCTGGATAATGAGATGCTGCTGTACTTTGCTCTTGGGACTCATTCTTACAGCTCTGACTTTACTCAGGTTTCTTAGAGTTAAAATCCTGTGATTTTTTTTTTTTTTACAAAGTGTTTTCTTCTGTGTATTTTTAGAGAGCAGCTGGCACAACCAGAAAAACCTGCTAGCCCCAAGTTCATTGTCACACTGGATGGTGTCCCCAGCCCACCAGGGTACATATCTGATCAAGAGGAGGAGGAGATCTGTATAACTGAAGGAGTGAAGCCAGTTACCCAAAATGTAGCTGCAAACAAGGGATTAAAAAGCTTTCAAGCACAGCAGATGCAAGTTATAAACAGGCAGCTGGAGAGTCCTTATGGTAAATTATCCTAGCCAAGAGGGCCTTTATATTGGAGTTAGATTACTTTTTAATATAGAGCTTTGATATTTGGGAGAACTCTTAAACCTAACAACTTTAAGTATCACCTTTGCACTTGTTTCTATAATATTTTTTCAGAGTGCAACAAGAGCAGAGCACCCCTTGAAAAGTGAAACTGAAGCATTGTAAGGGCATAATGCCATTTAGCTTGCTGACCAAGAAATTGTTCTCTGTACAGCTTTGTGTCAGTAAAATTTAAATAAGCATTTTCTTTTAAATCTCAGTGACCTTTTGCTTGTCAGGAAATGCCCTCATTCTCCATAGTTGTTGCATGATTGGCCCCATGCAGGACAGCATGTTCTAAGGTGCACTTTATTAAATTGTATTGAGCCATTGAAAATGTGTGCCCGATTGTGAAGGTAACCATAATCTTTCTTGCCAAGTTTTGTTAATGTCCAAAGCTATTTTTAATGGTAAAGACTGTATTCCAAATTTGTAGAATCTTTTAAAATAGAAGAAACTTTGCGTATGATCACTATAAGCTTTTCTTAATATTTATAGAATCATAGAACACTAGAACTGGGAAGGACCTTGAGAGGTCATCGAGTCCAGTCCCTTGCCCCCATGGCAGAACCAAGCACCATATAGACTGTCCCTGATAGATGTGTATCTAATTTGATCTTAAATATTTCCAGAGATGTAGATTCCACAACTTCCCTAGGCAATTTATTTCAGTGTTTAACCATCCTGACAGGAAGTTTTCCCAATGACCAACCTAACCGTCTCTTGCTGCAGTTTAAGCCCATTGCTGCTTGTACTATCATCAGAGGCCAAGAAGAACAATTTTTCTCCCTCCTCCTTGTGACACCCCTTTAGATACTTGAAAAAAGTATTTCTTACTTTCAGAATACTTGTCCTGGGATTTAGAACATTGGTCTCTTTTAAGTTGTTTAGAACTCTGCTTTAGAAATGTTGATATCTGAATATAAAGTAAAACTCACTTTAAAATGTAGATTTTCCTCTCTTGGGCTTCTTAAACACTCAGGGTATGTCTACATTGCATTCCTCTTTCGAGAGAGGAATGCAAATGCAGGCGAGCGAAATTGCAAATGAAGCGCGGGGATTTGAATTTCCCATGCTTAATTTGCATAATGGCGCCCGGGTGCTTTTTCAAAATACCCTATTTCAAAAGAACAAACACAGTCTAGACAGGGTTATTTCGGGGAAAAAAAAATTCTTTTGAAATAAGCTTTACTCCTTAAAAAATGAGGTTTAAGGGTTATTTCGAAAGAAGGGTTTTTTTAAATAACCCCGTCTAGACTGTGTTTGTTCTTTTGAAATAAGGTATTTCGAAAAAGTGCCTGAATGCCATTATACAAATGAAGCACGGGAAATTCAAATGCATGCTTCATTTGCAATTTTGCTCGCCTGCATTTGCATTCCTCTCTTGAAAGAGGAATGCAGTGTAGACATACCTTCACTGGTTTGAGCTCAAGTTTCCATTCAGGTTTTCTATTTGTCATGCACTGTTACTATATGAGGGACTGACATTCATGTATCACATTTTTCTGAGTTCTATAAAGAAACTAAAGGCTATACTGCAGTGTCTTCACCTCCATTCCTTGGATCAGGCCCTAAATCAGTGAAATACCTAGAGGTCTTTTCAAAGGACAGTTTCAGAAAGTATTAAGGAAAGAGGCACTGATGCTGCACTGGCTTACTTAGTCTTGTTTGCTTCAGTGGGACTGCTGACGGTGCATAAAGCTAAGCAAGGGTGTAAGTTGTAGAATTGGAGCCAGGGTGTGAAGCAACTTGGAGAAGATGGAGTTTCAGGTACGCAGTACCACTCACAGAATTATGGAATAGAATCATAGAACACTAGAACTGGAAGGGACCTCAAGAGGTCATCGAGTCCAGTCCCCTGCCCTCATGGAAGGACCAAGCACTGTCTAGACCATCCCTGATAGATGTCTGTCTAACCTGCTCTTAAATATATCCAGAGATGGAGATTCCACAACCTCCTAGGTAATTTATTCCTGTGTTTAACCACCCTGACAGTTAGGACATTTTTCCTAATGTCCAACCTAAACCTCCCTTGCTGCAGTTTAAGCCCATTGCTTCTTGTCCTATCCTCAGAGGTCAAAGAGAACAATTTGTCTCCCTCCTCCTTGTGACACCCTTTTAGATAATTGAAATCTGCTATCATGGCCCCCCTCAGTTTTCTCCTTTCCAAACTAAACAAGCCCAATTCTTTCAGTCTTTCTTCATAGCTCATGTTCTCTAGACCTTTAATCGTTCTTGTTGCTCTTCTTTGGGCCTTCTCCAGTTTCTCCTCATCTTTCTTGAAATGTGCCCAGAACTGGACACACTACTCCAACTGAGGCCTAATCAACACAGAGTAGAGCGGAAGAATGACTTCTCATGTCTTGTTCACAACATTCCTGTTGTTAATGCATCCCAGAATCATGTTGGATTTTTTTTGCAACAGTGTCACACTGTTGACTCGTATTTAGCTTGTGGTCCACTATGATCCCTAAATCTCTTTCTGCATTACTCCTTCCAAAACAATCACTTCTCATTCTGTATGTGTGAAACTGATTGGTCCTCCCTTAAGTGGAGTAGTTTGCATTTGTCCTTATTAAACGTCATCCTATTTACTTTAGAGTATTTCTCCAGTTTGTCCAAATCATTTTGAATTATGACCCTACCCTCTAGAGCAGTTGCAACCCCTCCCATCTTGGAACCATCTGCAAACTTAATAAGCGTACTCTCTATGCCAATATCTAAGTTGTTGATGAAGATATTGAACAGAACCGATCCCAAAACAGACCCCTGCAGAACCGCACTTGTTATTCGTTCCACCGTGATTGTGAACCATTAATAACTACTCTCTGAGAACCGTTATCCAGCCAGTTATGCATGCACCTTATAGGAAGTTGCATATGCCTAGTTTATTGATAAGAATAAATTCTGAAGGGATGGGAATAGGGGCATGAATGAGGATGCAGAAATATTGCTGCCAACATATTTATGGCTGACCTGGAACAATGCTTGCTCAGCTCTCGTCCACTCATGTCCCTTCTCTACCTACGCTACATTGATGACATCTTCATCATCTGGACGCATGGGATGGAAACTCTGTAAGAATTCCACCACGATTTCAACAGCTTCCACCCCACCATCATCTTCAGCCTGGACCAGTCTACACGAGAGGTCCACTTCCTGAGCACCATGGTACAAATAAGTGACGGTCACATAAACACCACCCTATATGAAAACCTACCGACCGCTATGCCTACTTTCATGCCTCCAGCTTCCATCCCAGATATACCACACAGTCCATTGTCTACAGCCAACCACTGAGATACAACCGCATTTGCTCCAACCCCTCAGACAGAGACCAATACCTACAAGATGTTCAACAAGCAGTCTTAAAACTTTGATACCCACACAAGGAAGTAAGGAAACAGAGACAGACATGTACCCAGAAGCCTCCTGCTGCAGGACAAGCCCAAAAAAGAAACCAACAGAACACCACTGGTCATCACCTACAGTCCTCAGTTAAAACCTCTCCAACGCATCATCAGTGATCTACAACCCATCCTGGACAATGATCCCTCACTTTCACAGGCCTTGGGAGGCAGGCCAGTCCTCGCCCACAGACAGCCTGCCAACCTGAAGCATATTCTCACCAGCAACTATACACCGCACTACAGTAACTCTAACTCAGGAACTAATCTTGCAACAAACCTCGGTGCCAACTCTGCCCACATATCTATACCAGCGACACCATCACAGGACCTAACCAGATCAGCCACACCATCACTGGCTCATTCACCTGCACATCTACCAATGTAATATACGCCATCATGTGCCAGCAATGCCCCTCTGCTATATACATTGGCCAAACTGGACAGTCCCTATGCAAAAGAATAAATGGACACAAATCAGATATTAGGAATGGCAATATACAAAAACCTGTATGAGAATACTTCAGTCTCCCTGGACAAACAATAGCAGAGTTAAAGGTAGCCATCCTGCAGCAAAAAAACTTCAGGAACAGACTTCAGAGAGAAACAGCCGAGCTGCCGTTCATCTTCAAATTTGACACCATCAGCTCAGGATTAAACAAAGACTGTGAATGGCTAGCCAATTACAAAAGCAGCTTCTCCTCTCTTGGTGTTCACACCTCCAGATCAGCTCCTAGAAGTGGGCCTCGTCCTCCCTGATTGAATTTACCTCATTATCTCTAGCCTGATTCTGGCCTGGATATTTATATCTAACTCTGGAAATTTCCACTACATCTGACGAAGTGGGTCTTTGCCCACAAAAGCTTATGTTCCAATACATCTGTTAATCTATAAGGTGCTACAGGACTCCTCCTTGCTTTTGCAGATACAGACTAACACGGCTACCCCTCTGAAACAAAACAGTAGTGAAAAAAACAGGTTTTTTTAAACTTGTTTTACTGGATTGGGCTATACACTGGGGAAGTATTGAGTGCACACTTGTTTTTGTTGCTTTGTAATTGAGAAATTTACCCACTAAATAAAGTATTGCAGCTTTCACCAGCTAACAACCTCCAACTATAATGGAGAATAACTAAACTCCGTGTATGTTCAAGTGATTCTCCATTATAGTTGGAGGTTAACTAAACTCCGTGTATGTTCAAGTGATCTGAAGTCTTAAGAGATCTGAGATTTGTATAAAAGCTTGTCATATGCTGATGAGAATGCACTCTGTTTAGGGAACATACTGAATTTAAAAGGCATTCTGCTTCATAAACCAAACTGCACGTGTAATAAAAAAGCCTCTGTGTCATTTCTCCCCTACAGTGGAGATGGAGGAATTGACTGTGTTGCAGAAGCAAGAGAAAGTGCTTGAGCGTTGCAAGTACTGGCCTGCCTGTAAGAATGGAGATGAATGTGCATATCACCACCCAACACTACCATGCAAGTAAGTGCTGCAGAGCTCTGTAAATGTGACCTTTGTTCTTTGTCTACATTTTGTGTAAGTTATTTCACATCGGTTATTCAATTAACATGCCTCATGGTTGGAGATCGGAGTTGAACTTTGCTTTGTAAATGTAACTTCCTCTCTTTCACCATGTGCCAGAATTTAGGGGCATTTACAATAAGTGGAATAACATCTGAGCTCCTGCAGGAGTGAGCTTTTTCCATCATGCAGGGCACTGTTTTCTGGGCTCTTTAGTGGCAAGCTGAGAGTGACGCTTTATTTGCCCTACTGCACATATAGTGGCACAGCTGCAACACTACTAAGTGCAGATGCTCTTCCATTGCCTTAATTACTGCAGCCTTGATGATAGGCCTGCTGATGGGGGGGACAAAGGAGGCAGTTGCCCTGGGGCCCAGCAATTCAAAAGGGCTCCTGGCCATCACTGTTGTTGTAGCCCAAGTGGGCCCAAGGCCCATTAAATCCCCATTGGAGTACAATGTGGTTCACTCAGACAGCTCTGAGGGTGGGGGGGGAGGTCACATGCTCTGGGCAGTGCTACGGGCTGGATGCCCTAGCCGTGCCCCTCCTGTCCAGGGCTCTGCCCCATCTGGGTTCATGGAGCTGTACCTTCCTCCCACCTTACCCAGGGGCCAGACAAGGCTGTGGCAGTAGCTGTATTGACTAGAGAAGCCATCCTTTTGACATAGTGCTGTCTGCACCAGGGGTTAGGTCAGTATAATTGCATTGTTTAGGGGTGTGGATTTTCTGTACCCCGAATAACATAGTTGTACTGACATAAGTCTGTAGTGAAGATCGAGCCCACGATACCTCAGCTATCTGTTCCCAGAGTTTTGAGCACAGTTGCTCTCATAGATACATTGGTGCAGTGCTTTTTGGCTTAAAAGCAAAGATTCAGAGGAGTTGTACTGAAGATTTTGCTGTGCTATCGACTCTTGTTCAAGTGGTAGCAACTGTCCAAAACTGCTCTCTGCTGCTCTCCTCCTGGATTTTTGGGTACGAAACAAGCATTCAGCTTTACTAGCTGCTGTCAAAGGAAGGGAAACTGAGCCACAGCAGAAACTGTTGCCATAGAGAAGGTTTGGGTATCTCAAAACACTCATCCCCTGCACTGGGAGAGTACTTGGGAGTTGAATACACAGTTTTGCTAAAGTGGTATTGAAATCTGCAACCTTGTCAAATGTGTTGTCAAAAGTGGGAGGTGTGATCCGCCGCTGGGAATGTACTTGGCTGTGCAGTTCGTTCTGCAAGGTGGAATCCTTCTGATGTAGGGCTAGCCGACAGGCTCTCTAGCCCTTGCTTTCCCCTACCCTTTGTCCCACAGTGGGGTAGGGATGTTAATATGCATATATTTGTGTAAACATGTAACTGCTGAATTTATATGGTGCTCATGGGGAGCAGGCTTATAAATTCAGCAGTGTGTGGGTGTAACCATGTACTTGGATACATGTTCACATCCCTACATTGAGGGAACAGAGAATAAAATTCATGCCTTGATGCTGATTGATTGTCTCTGACCAGAAGATCACAATGGTCCCTTCTTGATTTGGAGTCTATGAATCCATGCTCAAGAAAGCAGATTTGCAGTCTGAAATAAGTCAGAGGGGACCACAGTACTATTAAAAAAAGAATATTCTCTGTATTGTTGCTTAGTAAAGAGGATATGATGATTCTAGATTATATAGTAAGTACACTTGGTTTATGAATGGAAGTATTCTTTGTGGCTTGCACTACTTCATGTCTGACAAATGAGAAGATAATATTTTAGAAGGAGTTATAGCAACTTCTCATTTCTCTGCAAGGCAGTGATATGTTATAACTTATGCCCTGCCTTACCTCTGAATTTCTGGGAGACAAAAACAAGTGGTTCCATTCCACAGTAATTCTGAAAAGAAAATTCACGAGATCAGAATATTAGTGCTTTTATCACCCTAAAACTGAGATTGAAAGGGTGACATTGTTGGGTTCAAGTATATTAGTACCCTGTGGGCATTTACAGCATGCAGTGTTCCCGTAGTTGGAGCTCAGAAGCTGAATCTTGGGCATGTTTTATCTGACTTGCTTGGCCTTTCAGTTGCTGTTTTAAAATCAAACTTCCCTAGTTCTCTTTTTGGGGATGTACTGATGCTATTTTTAGACGCAGGCAGTATTAGACTTGGAGTGTATCAGCCTTGATGTTTTCTTGTTGAGAAAGTTCATTTTGAATTATGACCTTACATCATCTATCCCTTATTTGGAAATGTTGCTGAGGCTCAGATTATATCAGTTTTGTCAAAACTGTGGTTTGTCCTGGTGTGTGTGTGCTAGATGCTGCATGGAACATGGTTCAAATAATTGATTTGGGTTTTTTCCCCCTCAGGGTATTTCCCAGTTGCAAATTTGCTGATAAATGCCTGTTTATTCACCCAAACTGTAAATATGATGCAAAGTGTACTAAGCCAGACTGCCCTTACACTCATGCCAGCCGACGGATCCCAGTGCCGCCTCCTAAACCAGGTGAGCCATCTTTTTTTTTTATTGCTAGTTTAGTGTGAATTTACAAGGAGTGTGTGGGAGGAATTGAAGCTTCCCCCAAAGAATCTGATTTGGTGAAATCTAGAGAAAAAAGTTACTTGTATGAGATTCAACATTTGCATCACTTCTTTTATCCCCAGGGCATTACATCTTGAGTTAATACAAGTTGAACCTTTCTAGTCTGGCACCCTCAGGACCTGATTGGTTCTGATCCAGAGAATTTTCCAGACCATCAATATTGTTTAGAGCATTACCAACACTTCCACTACTTACTTCGCTCTTAGAGGACATTTTCAGGTATATTAGAGCTAAATATCAGCACAGAACACTTAAGAACCAGGGCTAGTGGCTGTAATAAAACTATGGAACCACAGGAAACTTGGCCACACCCATTAAAAGTGGACATCCAGCTATCTAAAATCCTGTCAGCCCATGGATGTTTCCGGACCAGCGAGTTCTGGACTAGAGAGGTTCAACCTATATAACTGAAAAAAATCTCTTGTGAATTGTCAAATTACTGAGTTCATCTGTGTGAGTGCTATATACCAGAAACTCTCATTCACTGCAAATGGAGTAACATGGGGCAGAGATTGTGGCACACGCAAATAGCCTATCACTTCTGAATGGATCAAGTAATTAGCCAGTTCTGTAAGAATAAATATAACTAAACTGTTCCCAGATTTAATCTGTTCTAGAATAAGAATGATCTTCTGATATGAAAACACAAATTGAAGGCTTAAGTTTCTGGAAGTTTGCTTTCTGTCCTGTAATTTAACGTGTTTGTGACCATTTTTACTCATTAAAACAGAGATACTATCCTTTGGTAAAGAAATTACTTGATAGAGTTTAGGTTAACTTAATGTAGTTAACCTGAGTTGGAATTTTCCCAAAACGTAGGGGTTAATATTCCTATCCCCGTTAAAAAAAAACAAACAAAAAATACCTGTGGTCAGATGCACCCCAACGACTGCATCTCCAGGGGCTTAATGCTTCCTAATATCGCCAATGAGGTGTGGTTTTATTGCTGTGTCAGGCTATAGTCTTATATACCAATCATCAATACCACTTCCTGTACTCCTTATGTTCCTGGGAAGGGCCCCACCTCTGTAATATGTCCCACTACTGGTTACTTGAAAACCTACAGGCTTGCTGCAGCCTAAAAGCAAGATTTAAACATTTTTGTCTGCCTAAATTCCCCTGAAGTTTGTTGAAAATAATATTCTGCATTTTCTATCCTGAACTGTTGAAGTGCTTCTGTGTGTGGCTTGAATAGTGACCATGTTCCATCCCAGAATGTGCAGCTTTTCAGTTTTGTGGAACATCCTGATATATCTTACATATTTCTTAGGGTTATTACAAGGTTTAATTATTTGCAGAGTGATTTGAGATCCTGAAATTAAATGTACTCTGGAAATACAAACTTTTTTGCTGAGACAATGCAATTGTTTTGACCAATGCAATATTATTGTTCTTCTAACAGCACCACTACAGGCACCTCCAGCAACCTCCAACAGTCAGCTCTGCAGATTTTTCCCTGCTTGTAAGAAAATGGAATGTCCATTTTATCATCCAAAAGTAAGAAATGTCTGTTAATCTGAAACACAGTCAATTTATAGCTTGAAAATGAGAGACAGAAAAGCAGCGATTTATAAAGTGGTATATTTTGTGAATAAGCTTTCCTAAACTCATCTGGTGGTCTAGTAAAACTGGAAAAAGTTAACTATCAGACTTGTTCAGTTACAGCAGACTGACCCCAGTGAGTCAGTTGGCCTATGTTATGTTTTCAGTGTCAGCTCACAGCTAGCTACTTTTCCAAACTCTTCTGCTTCTGAGGAATGGTTAGAACACAGAAGAAAATTCACTTCTGCAGCAAATCATAGGGGATGATTTGGACTCCAGCTGGAGGAAAAATGAAATCCCTATAGTTAGTTTAGAACAGGTAGAGCTGGATGATTATCCCATTGAGGTTATTGCATCCAAAAGTGGCCAAATTTGAAGTTTATATTTCTCTTCAGAGAAAGAGGTGATCATGGCTATCTTTACCAAGCTGAAGGAAGAAAAAAAAGGCTGCCTTTTAATTGTTTCTTTACATTAGAGATTTGTATTGCTGCTCTTCATGTTTGCTGAAGCTGTAGCCTTTGTACCATGAATTTTGATTGAAGGTGAACAGGGAATCTCTTTTGTTATAAAAATAATCTTGATACTGTTATCTTCGTAAGGTATGTCTACACAGCAGTGTAAGCCCAGGCTTGAATCTGGGGTCAAACCTAACATCCACAAACCGATTGTGTTAACCCGAGGTTTAAACATAGGATCCTATGACCCTGCAGGACCTAGGGCATAAGTCCTATTGCTTTCCTATGTGCATGTGGCCCAGGCTTGACTCAGGTCCTGGAAGTATCCCAGAGTTCTTTGGGGCAACTTCTTTTTGCTGACAATCTCTGTTGCAAACCACTGCACTCTATTGTAAACTGAAGCAGCTCAGATCAGTGTTAACCCATTGCTTGTTGAACAGTGGTCTCCAAGCATACTGTCAGGGAGCCTGCAGGAGTTTCAAGTGGAGACCAATTGGAAGAAGCTTTTTGCAAAGAGAGCTGCCTCTGGGTCCCAAGAACACAGTCAGATTTTGGTGTATGCTGCCTGGACGCCTCTGAACGTGCGGCCCTTGAAAGAGTGGAGAAGCCAAATAGTGGAGAAGGGACTAAGTGATTGCCTTGTTACAAGGGGGAGTGGCAGAGCTGTCAGCTCAGCTGGCTGGGGGAGGATGACCCCCAACACTTCTCTGCTCCCTCTCCTTGCAGGGCAGCTGCTGGGTCTCTGCTCTCTGGCCCTCCTATGGCTGCATATGCAGGGTGTCCTGGTAGTGTACGCTGTCAGGGCAGTGAGCAGAAGCCAACCCCAAGACTAACCCACAGCCCCCTGGGGTTTGAATTCCTGCCTCTCGTGGTATGATTGGGACAGGGATAAGGGATCCCTGGGAAGTGTCGGTTAGGGAAACAGGGTGGGCAGTAGCATGTCTCCACAGAACAACATATGCATAGGGCCAGACTGTTGAAACTAATGGAGGAGGAGTGGTAAGCACGCTGGGATAAGGCTACTTTGATTCGGGTCTGTGCAGTGCAGTGTGGACACCAGAGCCCTAGGACCAAACTGATCAGAAAATCCTTAACCCAGGGTTAAAACGCTTTATGGACACTAAAGCCCAGGTTTCCCTGATATGTTAGCTGATTCAGGTCCCTCTAACCCTAGGCTTACATTGCTGTGTAGGGTTTAGAGGCCAGTATTTCTAGAATCTGATGAAGTATGATATATTTCCTAAACTCTTACTTTCTGTCTAGACAAAATAAATCACTATGTCAACCATGAGATAATGCCTGAGATCTTGTTGAGAAGTCCATTTGGAGCACAATGAAAGATGAGAAATAATTTAAATTGAATAATGAAATCATACTCTGTCTGTAATTGCTGGTTTATCATTATGAAAGAAGAGAGCAAGATTTAGAAGGCAGTGATATGATTGAATCTCTTCTATCGTCACTGATGGTTCCAAGACATACTGCTTTCCAGGATAGTAATGTAATTTCAGAAGTCACTAGAGAGATGAAAAGTGGAAAGTAAAATCTTCTAGAAGTGTAATTGTTGCCATTGAAGATTAATTCTTCTCGCTCTTCCATATATGGTAGCATAGGCCTAGTAGCTAACTGAAATTCTACTGGCCTTACCAAGGACTTGTGATTCTTGGAATACTCAAAAGTAATCCATCTAAAGTCTCTGTGAGGGGAAATGATTGGAAGGCTATGAAAGAATATTCATTTTTGTGGTGCACCATGAGGAGGAGAAATCCTAGTTTTCTGTAGTAAATCTTGAGAAACCACATCTTTTCAAAACTAACCTAGCAAAGGTTATGCTAGAGGCGAGGTCCCAGGTTGCATCTTGTTTCAAGGTCTCTAAATTTCAAGGTATGTACAGTAAAAGCCAACTCAGGGTTTCTGAGACAGAGGAATTGGATGAGAATGAGGAGTAATTGTTTCTTAAATTTATTAATCCCATCTGCAGCATTCAGCGCACTGCAAAGAGAATATTGATGCCTTCTGTACATTCAGGATCAGTAGTAGTATGAGGAAAAAAATAAAATTAGTTCCTTTTATTATGACAGTGAGAACACATTTGCCATTTTAACAGATTATTCTTTCCCATCCCTTAAACAAAATCTCCCAAATGCCAATCAATTTAGAAGTCTTCAGCTTGTTTTTTAGCATATTTTATTTGGATTTTTATAATTTCATGGTAAATTATTAAATATCTTGTTACTAGAACATTTCTTTATTGAAAACAGAACCCTTGACATTAGTGGGGTCAGTTGACACTGCTGTTAATTTGCAAAATCATTTACCCATTGTTGTCCGTCCATGAATTTTGGACTATACAATAATAAGTACTCATGTATTAAATGTGCTAGATATCTTATGGCTATAGGAGAGGTAACTTTAATTAGTGTTCTTTGAAATAATTTTAGCATTGTCGATTTAATACCCAATGTACAAGACCAGACTGTCCATTCTACCATCCAACTATTGCTGTACCTCCACGTCATGCCTTGAAATGGACTCGAACTCAAACCAGGTAATCAAGCAAATCTTTCACTTGTGGTTAGCTGTTAAGGCCCTGATCATCTGAATACATAAAATGTGTGTAACTTTACTTATCTGAGTAGCCCTGTTGCATGTATGCATAAATGTTTATTGGGTTAGGGCCTAAGATTGGTAATTTTTCTATAGCAATGGTCAAAGACAGAATTATGTGTTTGTTGTTTCTGAACAGTTACTATCTCAGCCCTTGGAAAAGTGAAAAATGAAAGCTCTGCAGTGAGGGCCTGAAATAGAGAAAACAGGGTTCCAGATCTGTGCCCCAAGAGTGAGTGCTCTGCTCTGCCCTTGAGTCAGAACAGAAACTTCACATCAGTTCTTCCTTGTCCCTATTTTCATGTCATAGTACTTGATACCCACATATGATGATCCTTTTAGTATTCCTCATACCATACCTCTTCCTATCACTGGCAATGACCCCACAGACCCCTAGCAAACAGGCTAGTCTCTGAAATGCTGTGGGAATTAGCCACCATCCTAAGTATCAATGATTTTTTAAGTGCTCTGAAGCAAGAAATTGGTATAGTTTATTCTGAAAATATCCTCACAAACGGAATTTATTTACCTGGAAAAGTTTTGGCTGAGGGAGAAATTAAGAAATATAATGTAAAATAGCCAGTGTTTAAATAGTTTCTGTTGAGAATTTCATGTTTTACTGTGAAAGTTAACATCGCTATTGACAAAATTATTATTAGAACTTGAGTAACATACAAAAAGAAATATATAAATCATTGGTTGAAGGTGAATAGTAATTTATTCCTCCTCCTTATACTTAGCTCTTGGGACAGCAGATATAAGTTACCAATTAAATGTGTTGTAAAACTCATTTAGAAATGTATATGCTACTAATCTGAAGATCTTTATATTAAAGTGTTTTTAGAATTAAATCCTGCTGCATCAGCAAGAGTTTCAGGATTTGGAAATGAAAATCAGTGGAAGTTGCAAGCATTCAAAATGTCTAAAAATCACGCTCTTTATTAAGGAGCCTAAACAGAGATTTAGGAAGATAATGTTAGGCATCATGTTTGAAAATGTTCACTTTTCTTATATATTTTCATCTCTCTTGAGCTTTTCTCACCATTTAATCTCACTTGAAATGGAAGTCTTGATACTTGAATCTTAAGAGGCTAGGACAATGCTTGTCAAATCATCTGTAAGGAGTAACAGACTTTTATTATGTGTTTATCTTCTCCAGTGAATAATTATCACACAATTTGTGGATGAAAGTTTCTGCCTTTAAACACTGATGGAGAGGAAAAGAGGATACTACAAAACCTTTCATCACACCTTTGGAAGATTGAATATATATAGTTTTCATAAAATGAAATTTGATTGCATACTTGAAATGTCTAATTTTCCAAATTTGTAAGTTTAATAGCTGGTTTTACTTTTTTTTTTACACTGTAAAGAGAACATCTGTGGAGGGAAAGAATTTTACTTTAAATTCCATTAAAAATTGCAAGACATAGTTTGTATTTTACTCTGGTTTAGCCTGGTTTTTTTTTTTGCTCAAAAATTATTTTTTAAACTAGAATCAGTTTGTTTTAAAAGGGCTGTTCTGCCAGTGCAAATGATCATTATATTACTTTTATTTGGGGAAATTACCATAATGTTCTCTAGATATACATAGTCAAATTGATGTCTGAGTAGAATATTAATTTCAGTTCTCATACATCCACTTTTATTACCTGATGGTTAAACAATAGATACCCTCTTGTGGGATGGAAAGTTATATTTTTTTATTCAATGAATAGTAGATAGACCCTTGTTAATATGACATAGAAGATAAAGGCAAGAGGGAAAGTCACCATTAGAAAGAAATTGTTTTTAAAGGTAGCAAACAAAATGAGTTGTTTCATTGTTTTTGAATTACAGCGCAGTTCAACTGGAAATCCAATTTTAAGGATAAGTGTAGGCATCAGTGAGGGAGAAGGCATCATCTTGAATCTTATCTTCAAGAGACTATATTGTTCTTCACTCAGCACTACGACGAATAATCTGTTGTAATCATCTCCCTCCAGGGAGCACCTGTTAACTTCTATAGCAAAGATAAATTCATTTGAATGGTAACGGTGTAGAAATAGATTAAAATCTGTAAATCATCTGTTCAATGATGTAAACAACTAAACAGTAACATGAATGCACTTTTTTATTAAATCTTTTGTATCTTTTAGGGAACCACATTTTCACAAAAATATACAAAAGATATTTTTTACAAATATTTACATTAGATAGCATAAAACAATGTCACTAGATATCTTAATCAGATTTGACAAATATATTCTTGAATTCTGAATTTGAACACTCCAGAAATTAATTGAAAATATTATTTGTGTAGATAAAGTAATCAAAGTTTAGCTCATATTCAAATTTAAAAAATCTTAATTAATGCAAAAAATCTGAAGATTTAATTTAAATATTTTAAAATAACATACAAACTACAATATTGTATGATTACAGGGATTGGATGGTTCTGGCCAAAACCAAAATGGGAGCAAACTTAAAACCATGATCCTTAGTACAGTAATACATGAACATACACCTTTGGACTAGTCCAGAGTACATTTTTGGTTAAAGCAAGGGGGATTGTCTGACAGACACCATAATGAAACACAAACTATCTAAAAATACAACTGGATCAGTGATTTTTAAGCTTAAAGAACTTCAGTAAGAATTTTCCAAGAGTTACCAGACAGTTGAACAAAGGATAAGATCTTCACGAGGAACAGTACTGAAACAGTGATTTCGACCATTCTCTCCACTGACCGGAATGAAAAATAAAACTGCAAGTGAAGTTTAATAGAATTTTTAAATATATCCATTAGCTAGCTGTACCTTTCAGAAGCATGCTTTACCATGGAGCTGCTTTCCCTTCCGGGTGTGAGACAAAAGTGAATCATAATCTTCAAAGGCAGCAAAACAGATTAATAACTGCACCTATTAATTTCAATAGTTTGATGTCTGTCACCTATTGCACAAAGTTTAAAATAAGGCCAATCTGCTGATGGTTGTTCTTCTCTAACAAGAACTCTAGGGGTGTCTCTAGACTACATCTTTCGACAGAGGGATGTAAATTAGTCACTTCAAAATTGCAAATGAAGCCAGGATTTGAATTTTCCGTGCTTCATTTACATAATGGCGTCATGGCGCTCTTTCGGAAAAAAAAACCCTGCAATCTAGATGCGGTTCTTTCGAAAATAGAAGCCTTTTTCAAAAGATCCTATAAACCTCATTTTTTGAGGTTTACAGGATCTTTTGAAAAAGCCTTTCCTTTTCGAAAGAACCACCTCTATAGCCTGTGGGTTTTTTCAAAAGAGCGCCATTATGCGATTATGCAAATGAAGTGCAGGAAATTCAAATCCTGGCTTCATTTGCAATTTCGAAGTGACTAATTTACATTACTCTGTTGAAAGAGGGTTGTAGTCTAGACACACCCTATGTGACCAACTCATGAAGTTTAAAAAAAAAAAACAGTCTAAGGGGAATGTTTTCTAATGAGTGCCATTTAGATTGTTTTAAGTAACTACTGTGGTCTTGGCCTTATTGTTATGTAAAATTTTACATAAAATGTACATTTTACCTTTTTCACAAGTTATTAATGCTGTTTTTCCATTACTTAGTATATGCTGTAAACCCAGAAATGAACTAAATGTCAGATAAAGCTCATAATTACCAATGGTTTGTCCTCTTAAAATTACAGTGACTATTGCAGCCCCCAAAACACAACAATATGACAAGTAGCAGCAGTAAAGGAAAAATAGGCTAGAAATACGGAAAGCATTATCTAACAACACCATGGCTTTCACAGGAGAGTAGTAAACCAACTTTATTTTGCAGTTTGTGTCAGTGTTGACGCTTAGCGTTTCTTTATAAAATGCATTTACTAAATTTCAAAATAATTCAATAATCAAGCCATGTCCTAGCTGTAATACATGTTTGAAACAATCGTGGAATGATAGAAATGCTAGTCACCCACCATTCCATGGTTATGGCTGAGCATTAAGTTTTGTGGGTTTTTTAGTCTTGTATTAAGGGTAGCAGAGCAACCACTCTGTTATACAGGGAGGAATAGCATATCCTCCCTTAATTACAGTATTTTCCTTTTTAGGTGCAGAATGATTTTTTGAGAAGTTACAATTAAATTTGTTAATTGGCTTTGACTCTTGCAAAATAGCTGCTTTGCTTTCTCTTGTGTCCTGTGGGAGTGAGACAAAGTGCTTTAGCTAGCAAATATGCCTTCTTTCAGAATGGCCACCAATAGAAGGCATTGGCCATTTGAAAAGAGAGCATCTTTGCTCAAGTTCAGCTATAGTCTCAGACCCAGTGAGGGGAATTCTTGAAGAAAAATATTCATCAGCCCCTGCTGCATGAAAAAATAAGAAAAATGGCAGAAAGTGAACACTAACTCAAACTTATTTTAAAGAACTACCCCATCACCAGATTAATACAACAGGCATAGAAATTGGGGGGTAGAGGATAAGGGAAACTGCTGTATAGGTTCATTCAGGGGAATATATTTTCATGCTAGAGGAAATTGACTGGTACATTCTAGATGCTTGCACTGATCCTGTGTGGGATTATACTGGTGAATCTGGTCCTAGAAGATTTAAGGGTAATAGTACATATCTTCACATGATTAAAACTATTACGTGGCAACACTGTCTTTGGGCTTCTTGTTTAGTGCTCTATGAAATTTTAAATAAAAAAGCCCCAGAAAAAATAGATAGTATACATCAGTAATTTAGAGATAAAACCATTACTGGAATTTTGTAATACTACTCAAATTAAGCATTACATATCCAGGATATTCAGATTTAGGTTAAATATAAGAGAATCCAAATGTGTTAAGGTATGGAACTAAATATTTAAGACACACAAAATGTTACCTCTGTTTTCTACTTCCACCAGGAGGGGAAATTCTATAAATCAATTTAATTATATTTAGAACTACAAACTTTATTGCATGGTGTCACTGAAGGGCACAGTTGAGGTGGTTTGACTCATAATACCCATATCTTCACACATCTGGGTATGTATTTTAACTTGTACCTTAACCTTTCTCTTTCCTGAGTTTAATTATTTGTTTCTTGATCACAGAATCCCTTTAATTTTTAAAGCCTTAAATTACTGATTTGCACTCAATCATAACTCCCATCTCAGTATAATTTGTCAGTGATTTAAATAAGAACTAATGAGTACAGGCTCATTAGCAGGATTTGTGCAAGCAGTTTATGGACACCATTTTCAAAATGTAACATCTTATGGAAATACACAATTCTTTGGTTTATTTTCTCCTAAAGAAAAGTTTAAACACCACTTGCAATGTTAAATCTCAGAGGGGTAGCCCTTTTAGTCTTTAAGGTGCTACAGGACTACTTGTTTTTAAAGATACAGACTAACCAAAGTCTCTAAGGTACCACTGGACTACTTGCCCCTGTTATTCACCAAAAGGAAATCTGGACATCAAGTTAGACCAGTTAAAATAATACTAGTTGTGGGGTGTGGGCAAAACATAAAGCATTTCTTCATTCATTTTGGTCACATAGGCAGATGTCTAGAAAAGCAGGATCTCCCGACCCTCCTTGGGAGCTGCTTTGACTTTCTAAGCAACAAAGAGATGGGGCAATGCTAAGTGACCTTTCACTCAGAAAGTAGGAGAGGGTTCCCTGCCTAGCAGCTGCTACTTATTCAATTATTTGCTGCCAATGACACCAGCTGCCAGTTCTCTGTTTGATAGCTGGACATTTTTCATCTGCAGTTTGGTGGCTTGCCAAAAGGGGAAAGTGGTCAGTGCGAGTCAGTCTCTCCACTGGTAACCTCTCTCCAGCTTTCCTTCCTATTTCCTTTTCTCACCACCATATTTTTTTATTTACTCTTTCTCTTATGCTGTTTCCTTCAGCACATCCTCCATAATTAAAGAAGTAGAAATAACTTTTGCCTGTAATTACCATGTTCATATGTTGTACACCCTTCCCCTTTAACCTCCTTGTGTTTTGTAGTTGGTGGATGGACTCTGTTCCTAGTTCTTTTTACATTGACTAACAATTGGAGCCCAGTCCTGCTTTACTATAGATAACTCAAGTAGATGTGACCAAAAGAAAAAAAATCCCAACCTCTGCTGAGATTGTATTCAATTATTTGAGTGATTTGATAAGCAGATATGTTGGAGCCACTCTCAGTATTATTATGCACCCAGCTTTTTTTCTCTTAAATAATCAGACATTCAAAATGAATTTGGTTTTAAGACTAGGAGCTGAAGAGGACCAAAATCAAGAAAAGGATTTGGTCTAACAATACCACAGTGATTGGTACAAAGAGTGCATAGTTGGTTTTGGCATGCTCACATATTTATCCAGATAAGTAAAAACAAGTGGTACTGTAAACAAGGAAAAAAGAACATGAGAAAGAGGCAGGAAAGTCTGCAGGTATGAAAGCGCATGCACATGAAACGTAGCTCAGGCTGCTCAAACAAATGGATTTCTAGGCTAATATGGCAGTTTAAATTGTGATCTGCAATATTTATTTCTTCCCTGTGTGTAGGCATGGTACATTCAGGAAGAAGGCTACAGAACGATTCACTCACTACCCAAAACAAAATTAGCAACAAGACATCTGTCCATTATGTACTATAACCAAAAATCATTTTATTTTGACAAAACTTAAGGCTTGCCTTACCTAACATGCTGCTAAATAAAACAGGAAACCCTGTCACTTTGCTGCTGTAAAAAGAATATATATTGAAAACATATCCCTCATCCTTCCATACTCAGGGCTTCCCATCTGCTTACAGCATGTAAATAATTATTTGGATGTTGTGTGCTGTTTTTCAGGTGATATCAGCCAGCATTTAACTGGATTTCTGTAATTAAGGTAACTCTAAAGTCAGTATTTAGTTCGAACAAAAATCTTAATAAGCATAATCAGAAGTGGCATACATTGTTAGTGAAAAGGGATGCTGAAATAAGTTGCTCTTTTCCCACCCTTTCTAGATCCAAATAATGATGTCCAGTAATCATGTTTTAGACAGAAACATGGAAACAATTAAGGTTAAAATGATTCTGTACATTTGGATCCCCCCCCCACCTAGCTTTTTCCACATATTCCAGCTCTTTTGATTATAATAGGGTCATGTTTAAGTCTGAGGGTTTTTTTTTAAGCCTTCCACTCTGTGCAGAGTATATCAGGTTTTCTTTTTTATATTTAAATATTTTTCAAGAACAGATGGATTTATGGGAATCTAGCATGTGTTGGTCTTTCAATTGTATAACTGTTTTAGTAACATATAAAGAAATTACCTTAAGGACTTTAAAGGTATCAAAGATCTGAATTCATTATAAATGAGACAATGGACCTGTATGATTTAAAAAAAGTTGGTGGCTCTTTAGTGCTGCATAGCTAAGGCTATGTCTAGACTATGTAGAATTTTTGAAAGAGGATATGCAAATTCTGCGGGAATTTTCATCTCTTCTTCCATTCTCAATTTAAAAAAAAAAGGTTTTCCCCTTTTTGAAAAAAACGCTCTTTTTTTGAAAAAGGGTTTAAAAAAAAAAAAAAAACCCGCGTCCAGACTTTCACTTTTGAAAGTGAGATTGGAAAAGGATATGCAAATTTGAAAGATATGCAAATCCTCTTTCAAAAATTATACATAGTCTAGATAGAGCCTTTCCCTTACACTAGTTCCCCAAATCATTATAGCCTCCATACCACCATACTTCTATCACTCTTCCCTTCACAATCTTGCTTCTTTCCAGGATTTAGAAAGCTATAGCAAGCTAGGCATTTTTCTGCACTAGTAGTCAATTACAATGTCCCATAGGCTATTGGCCATTATAGTCAGTGCAGAAGCATTTCACTTAGCAGCATGGGCCCCAACTGATTGGCTACGTCTACACTGGCCCCTTTTCCGGAAGGGGCATGTAAATTTCACCAGTCGTCGTAGGGAAATCCGCGAGGGATTTAAATATCCCCCGCGGCATTTAAATAAAAATGTCCGCCGCTTTTTTCCGGCTTTTAAAAAAGCTGGAAAAGAGCGTCTAGACTGGCCCCGATCCTCCGGAAAAAGTGCCCTTTTCCGGAGGGTCTTCAAAGCCTATG